GAAAATTGGTCTCCTAAAATATTTTAATCCAGCATTTCAGCTGGATGTTTCCTGTACGGCAACAGCTACGATCGGAATGTGGTAGTGCATTCATCTATTTCTTCGCCACATTCTTAGCAATGGTCACTGCTGCTGTACTGGTCAGTTGCTTCCACTCACGCATTCAGTTGAAGAATTAACTGAAGTTGAATCAGTTGAAATCTAATTTGATTGAATTGGATTAAACTGAAATTACCCAGCCACAGCGCAAGAGCACAATCGTAATTGTTTGAGAGCGTGAACATATGTGTGGAGAGGAATCACCATTTGGAAGATATTTTAAGGAAGAAAGCGAATTACAGGACGGCGCACGGTAATATTAGCTGCGCCTTCAGTTTTAGAACAGCCCAATAATATCACTGACATGAGATAGTTACACTGTATGTCGGGACGATCTTGGTACTTCTGACCTTTTTATAATAAAAAAAGATTTTATTCCGTGATTGTTTTTTCTTTTAACACAAAAGCGGAGGTTTAATTTTGAGGAAATTGCAGCAGAATAACAGACATTCAGAACATATTTTGGGTAACTGGCCAGAATTTATTGCAAATCATGGAATTAGCAAAATGGAACCACAAAAGGAAAGTGCTAAACTAACTGCAAATAGGTGGACAACCGCTGAGGATTTGCTCCTGGGAAAGAATGCCCGGATACGTGAAGGCGACATCATGCTCACAAAGTTAGTTCTACAGATCTTGCGATTTTTAGAATAATTCATTTTTGCTGCTTCACATGAAAAAATCTATGTTTTCCTTCGGAATCGCACTGAATTTACGAATAAAATTTTCGACCTGATTTTGAACCAGTGATTTTTTGAAAAAAGTCGCTTGATTTGGATTTATTAATTGAGTAATTCGGGTGAATTCCTTTCCAGTTCCGGATTAGTTATGAGAGAGACCCGGCCAGAGGAATTTTTAGGTATTTTTAACGTCGAAATATAAAAATCCAAAGATGTGCTGTCGATAAGATGAATGGTTATCATCCATGAGCAGCAGCGTTTGAGGCAGTGATGCTCAATACACATCAAAGACATCTCGAGACACTTAAAATTTTGCCGATTTCTTTCGAGTGAACTGTTGAGCTAGAAATTCCTCCAGGAGGCAAAACCTTTCAGCAAGATTACCACTAGGAGGTTAATCACTAGTTAATGAAATGGAAAATTTTGCTAGATGGCAAAAATTGGACTACCTGTTCCATGTGTTCCAAACTTTTAAATTTCCAATTTTGCATTTTTGAAACACTTTTGCAAAATCACAGATTAGGAGATTCAAAAACTATATTACAGGGAGCAAGAAAAGTTTTGGAAGCAGAACCGGAAGTTCAAAATGGCTTTCAATTTCGAAAACGCAAGAAATGACCGTTTCAAGCGGCAAGCATATCATGACAACTCCAACTATCCATATTATTTCTGGGAGAATGGCACCATACCATACAGCTTTCAACCAGGCTTATGTAAGTCATAGAGTTTTTACTGTGTACAGCTCAGTATCAGCCCAAGAATTTATATATTTTTTAAATTAGAAAACCTGAAATTTTTATTTTTTCAAAAAAACCTTTACTTTGAAAAATTCAACAATTTTAAATTTAATATTTTGGTTCACGAAAAATTGGAAATCATTCAGTTTCTTGCAAAAAAATCAGAATCTTTTAGTCAAAAAAGTCCACGAATTTGAGGCGCAGCATTTCTAGTTTTTTAAAAGGTCAAACTTTCCAAGCAGTAAAAAATCAAGAGTTTTGGATTTAGAATTTTTAATTTTTGAACGAGAAATTTCTCTTTTTTTCAAAGGCTACTACATATATAGGATACTGCGTTTTGTTTGGCAACGAAAATTTCAGCAAATCATGCCAAAACTATCATTGAAAAATCAATGGCTCTCTGGCAACAAGATACTTGCATCACTTTCACTCGCACCAGTTATGAAAAGAGTATACTCTTCTTCACAAGGGTTCACTTTTTGTTCTGTTATCTAAAAAAAAGCAAAAAAAAAAAA